AAAAAAATAAAAAACCCCCCCCCCCCACCGAAAAAAGTCCTGGCTACGCCACTGAGGTATTCATTTATCTAAAAAAAACCAACATTTTAAACTTGAGTAGACATATTATTATAATCAATAATAATAGACAATTTGACGTCAAACATAGGTTAAAGGTACTGTACTATAGTGTAGATGTCTCATTGTCTTATCAGTCAAGTGACTTTTCTTACATTCATGATAATAGCTATACAGGGAATAAATAATAAATAACTAATTCTGAGCTACTGAACATTAAAAAATGCAATACCATTTGTTATAATACTTTTTTTAATAACATTTGACCATATTGCACATAAAATCAATCACAATTATAAAATATTATGTTCTATAAGCTCGTAATAATGTCTAATGTTTTAAACATTCTTTACATAAAAAAAAAGCTCATTATCAAACTGTTTTTAGGTAATAAATATAACATTGTACTTAGTTTAAAATTATTAAACAAACGCGATATAAATTTCAAAAAATATAAATATATACTTTGTACTCTAAGTACTATTAACTGCTGTTAAGTAAAAATAATTATTTTTACAAAACTATTTTATGTCTTTTTTACAAGTTCTATATAGATAAATATTATAAAACTCAAAGCAGCCCAACAAAACACTGATGAAAGATTTTATGTTTAGACCAAATAACAAAAAAAGCCACTAGTGCTAGAAATCGATTAAGTATCATTTCCGTCAAAGTACTTGAGTGTTCTTTTAAGAAATAGGTAATAATTTCACTTAAACAAAGATAATCATTATAAACATTGAACACAGACATAAGTCGATCACGACTTAAGTCAGTTCTAATAACTTAACCTGACTTAATCTTTTGATAAAAATTAATATAATGTGCTAAGAACATGACAAATTCGGTTAAGAAGATTATAGTGTGTACACACGGTGAGCAGTCACGCACACAAAAAAAGATTCATATCAATAACAGATTCAAAATAATTTAAAAAGAAAAACCAGACTACAAAATTTAAATTAAAAACTAAACAGTTCTTCCGTGATCCAAAAACAAAATATTCAAACAATTTTGTTGCACAATTTTTGTTTTAAATCATAGGCACCTACATAATTCAAAAAATAAAAATCACATAATGAATATTATACGCATAGAATTATGTATAATATTATTATATAAAAACATCATAATATAATAATTGTTACAAGTAACACAACATTACATTAAGACAAATTGACAATATTATCACGGATTACACATGAAACCGTACAACAAGTTTGTAGTCTTTTAATAAGTATATATGTGCACACGTATTAAAATAACAATTAATGTTATGTTTATTAATTTTATCACCAATTAATTAACTTAATTTTAAATAATATTTAATTAAAATATTTCATAAAAATTCTAATTGTTTTGTTTGAAAAAAAATAATATCACAATAAAAATATTTCTACTAAAACAATAATAACTTGTCTATTTAAAATAATTAAATTAAAAAGATAATAGTTACCTACAGAAAACAAATTTTGTACACAGAGCCAGTACAAAAATTCAGATCACAAGGTAACGGGAAATATAATAAAAATAAACTTACTCATATTTAAGTACAACAACAATAGTTTCAAGGGATAAAGAAGGAGATTTACAATTTAAAAAAAATAAAATTTTACAGGTTTACAGATTTGAAACTGGTACAAAAAACTAACTTAACTGCTGATTCAAACACCCTGCGTGAACGATTTGTTTTTAATTTTTTTTTCTTATGTATTGTAACATTCATTGTGTAACATGAACAAAAATTTTCTTTTACCAATGTGGTTTCATCAGTTCTTGTAGAACTCCTCGATTAAATCTTTGTACTTTTCGTTTACTACTGGACGTTTAATTTTTAATGTAGGACCTGAAACAATTCATCATTTACATTATTAGTTGCTTATTAAACAATACATTTAATAGTTAAGTAATATTAATATGAGGCTCATTATAATTGAGACAAAAAGATAATTTATTATTGATATTAATATATACAAGTGAAAATGGATGTTGCTTTTTTCCGCACTCGTAATCTTCAAAACTACTCGTCTGATTCACTTGAAATTCAACATAGATATTCAGCCTGATCAGGGGAAGGTCAGTCCATATGAAAACTACTAAATATACCTCCCGGTCAGAGAAAGTAAAGATACAAGGTTGGTACTAGTGGCGCGCTCTATCGGATTAATATTATACATATTAATGAAAAAAAAAGAAAAAACTAATAGTGGCGCGCTGTAACCGATTTATAAAAATGAACTATATAAATCTATAAAAATAAATATGAATGTTAATAATAGCTAATAGACTGACGACTCGGGCACAGACCAAGTAAAACCTCAGCTAGTAATTAATATAATCAAATATACTCATTTAAGTATTTAAATATCTTTGAAACACATTCGAAACATTTAGAAGACCATTTTAGCTCATTTAATGACTATTATGTTTTATCATATAATATGACAAGATATTTAGAGAAATATCTATAAAATAGTATTGACGCTGAAAAAATGTAATGAACAAACAATGGATAAAAGTAAAATTTGGTTTTTTTAATTGGCTTACCTAATTCACCAGTAGGCAAGGAGAAATCAATTGGCAAAAGTGAAAACTTTTGGATTTTCTGTGCATTTGATATAGCTTTCTTGTTGGCTGCATCAATGCCTTTTTGTATCTCATCAAAAACTTCTTTAGGTTTATTTGCTACAACCTCAGACACTTTGGTAAACTTACAATTAAGTGACGATAGCCATAAAACCACTTCAGGTGTTAAAGTGTCGAGTGGCTCAGTAGTTTCAGCATCTACTTCACACTGAATACATACACAAAAGTAATGAAATAAAATAAATAAAAAAAATTAAGGAAAATAAAACAAATACATATTTATTTAATATACCTTTAGGGATAATAGTATGGACAAGAATTTTCTCTTGTCTCCTATTAAGAAAGCATTGCTAATAACTGGTAGTGCGGCTTTAACATTGTTTTCGATTAATACAGGAGGTATGTTCTCTCCACCAGCTGTAATTAACAATTCCTTCAAACAAAATAATATAAATTAATTATGTAAGTTGGAGTTTTTATTCAATTTATTTCTCCTTACCTTTATTCTTCCGGTAATAGTAACATATCCTTTATCGTCTATTTGGGCTATATCACCAGAATGAAGCCATCCATCAGTGTCTAGGGTACTCTCTGTTTTTTCTGCCAGATTCAAATAACCCATGAATACATGGCGTCCGTATATACACAACTAAACATATTAGGTTAAATTAACATTGCATTATAAAAGCTATAAATTGTATACTGGGTGATTATTTAAGCATGCTTATCCTATTTTTATGGTTAAATTATGCATACATTAAAATTCAGATTTTTGGAATTTTTAAGTACGCCTCAAGACAATTTTTTCGAATCATTGACATTTTTTGCAAAACATAAGGATATCCTGTGACAATACAAACTTTAGTTTTTCAAATACGAACCTATTTATTTTTTAATTATCAAACACATTTTTTTTTTTTTTGAGAATTTTTATGTATCTAAATCAAAATTCAAGATAGTAGTTTTTGAGTTATGTAACTTTGTGTAATAAGGATAATATGTACTAACAGTAATGGCTTAAGTAGGTATATAAGGGACAAAGACGATTTAAAAAAGTTAGCAATTACTATTGATTTATCAATATAAATAATAATTATCCAAGTATAATAAATACTACATCTAACATTACACATATTAGTTTTTTTTTTATAAAACTTTTTTTAATGATTATTACCCTTAGTATAAACATTTTAATAATTCATAAACTACTAATAAGAATTTTGATTTAGATACATCAAAGTTTTCAAAAAAATCATCTGTTGAATAATTTTCAGTAAAAAAGAATTTTCCATTTGAAAAATAGAAGTTATATTGTCACAGAATACTCTGTAAGTAGTACAAAAAATATCAGAAACTTGAAAATATGGTCTTTAGATCTACTTAAAAATTCTAAAAATCAGAATTTTAATAAATGTAATTAAAGGGAAAAATGGAGGTGAGCATGCTTAAAAATCACTCTGTACATGTGTATTGTAGTACAAAAACAAAATGTCGATATTTACTTCGCCATTTCCGTCCTTGTCGGGTTTGTCAATTTTTGAAGAGACTCCATCTAATGTTTTCCCAACACCAGCAACATTTTCATCAGTTGGATTACTCAGTGTATGTGCACCTCCACATTCAGACATTCCAAATGCCTGTTAAACCCATATAAAATTAATTGAAAGTCCAAACAGTTGTTAAGAGTATAATTATCATAATATTACTTCGCACAAAGGTATATCCAAACTCATAAAATATTTTTTTAGTTCAACTGATATAGGAGCAGCAGCTGAAATAAAATATTTGCATCTATCGAAACCAATGGCACTTTTGATACGACCATAAATTAACCATCTGAAGAATTTGTATGAGTATGTTTCTCTTTCAACTCTGTAACATAAATATCAAAATTATTGTAACATTGCATGAAAAAATAATTCAAGGTTAAATATTTATGTAAACAAATAAATAAATAATATTTGATACTGAGATTTAAAAATTGTATATTTTTTTACATTTTTATTGATCATCAATACAATAAACTAAGATAAAAACCATAGAACGTTATTTGATAATTTTCTTTAACAAGGAAATCTATGAATCATAAATGTTATTGTTAATAAGTAACTATGGCAACAAAAATTTAACGAAAAATCGATCAAAAACAAAGAACGTATATCCAGCTCAAAAACATATTTATGTTAAAACTATGTACTACTATAATAATGTCTGGCACTAAATGTACTAACCCTTTCATTGCTTCTTCATAATGATTTAAGCCAACTTCTTTAGCCCAATCAGCAATGTACTTCTTCAATGAACCTGATTTTCGGCCAATACTCACTAATTTTTCATTTATTTTTTCCCAAACACGAGGGACACCCAAGAAAACTGTAGGCCTGGCAGCTTGAAGTGTGTTCACTAAAGAACCCTGATATCACAAAAAAAATGTATAAATGAAATAAGTACTCAATTAAGAAATTTAAAATATTCACAAACAAACCTTAAGAGCATCTTTTTCACCAAAAAATACTTGAGCCCCTAATGTAATTGCACTATATATATCAGTGATCTGAAAGTATTAAATGTTGTTAGTAATTTATCAAAAGCTGTAGTAGATTTACATACTTGTGCTGCTACATGACTCAAAGGTAAATATGATACGAGAACTTCCTTGCCATCCGTCAAGGACAAGAATTTTGTGATCATATGTGCATTGTATGTTAGATTATCATGACTAACCATGACTGCTTTTGATGCACCTTCAGTTCCAGACTATTTTCAATATATAAATAATAATAATAATATAAGAGATAACAACAGGAATGTGTCAAACAAAATTTACCGTAAATACTAATGTACAACACTCATTGACTCCCATGGTTTTCAATATAGCATTTAATTTGTCATCAGATTCAGCTGATCCAATTCTCATTACATCTTCCCACTAGCAAAATATATAAAAAAGAAATATATTATACAATTATTTTAAGTGTACACATAGTATAGAAGTATATGCATTAGGGACTTCATGATATTAAAATAACCTTTAATTAGGTATATATTTAAAATCCAAAAATAATACTCTCAAACATGAATTAAAAAATGTATACCTATATTTTTAAATAACATTTTGGTTTATATTTCTAAATGCCTATTTTTATTAAAAAATTTATAAGAACACACTGTCAAAAATCACTATCAATTGTAGTTTGTTTATATTACTTCAAGACTTAATCAAATCATAATATGAAACATTAAACCAATATAAATAACAAAAATACCTACTTCACTAAAATATATACTATGAAAAGATAATTATTTTCAAAAGATACAGTATTTACTATTTTGTATTAAAAATGTTTAAATATGCAAAATTGGAAGTATAAACTATTGTTTTGAAACATCTATCAAATTGTTTAATACAATTATGCAACTCTTAATACTATTACTTATACATAGAGCATAAAAAATGTTTACTTTAACATGCATGCATTTTTACTTTTTCAAAATATACTAAAATATGCAATAACCATTAAATATGAAAAAGAAGTTTGCCATAAGTTTCAAACTATAATGATTATTAAAGATTAGTAATGAAAATTCAAAAAATGTGAAAATAAAAAAATCAATAATTGCATAAAAATCCTCACTTTACGTATGCATAAGTATATAACACAACTAAACTAATAACTTACCGATAAAACACCCTCTTCAGTAGGTTTGCCTTCATATTGAATGATAGCTTTTAAATGGGGTAGACGACTTTTGATTGATAGTATTTTTTCTAATTGTTTACTATCTTCAACTACAGCAATATTTGCTTTACTTGTCTCCAAACAGTGGAGACAAGCATCAACAAGATTTGTTGTGTACATTCCAGCAGCAAAACCACTTTATTAACAATAAATAATAATTCAATACATTTTAGGATATTAATAAATATGAACAAAATAAAATAAAACTTACATAATTAAAAAACACATTAAAAATATAGAAAGGAAATATTATTCTGAAGTCAAAAGTTTACAGTAAATTACAAGACAAAAAAAATTATCTTACCCAGCATAAATGGCACCTAAGTCTGAGTAAAACCATTCTGGAGAGTTAAACCCGATTATACAGACACCATGAAATCTTTCAAGGCCCAACTTTAAAAATGCTTTAGCAACAGTTCGTACATTTTGTTCATATTCTCTGAAAATAAGTTTTATAAGTTTAAAAATTGGATATATTTTTGATGTAATTATAATTTTAACAATAAACATACTTATAAGTAACTTTGACCCATTTATTGTCTGATTTGTAATTTAATGCCGGTAGATCTCCATATTTTTCGGCACTTCTAGTCAAAAGTCCAGGTACAGATATAGGGGTATTATCTGCACCAGCCTCAATCCTTAAAGTAACTCGACCATTTGCTTCACTTGTATATTTTTTTGAAGCAGGTAAAACTTGGTCTGGTCCATCTAAACATGACAAATTTCATTATTATTATACATATACATCATTATTCAATACTGAAGAGTTAGGAGCGCATCTAATTAAGTTTCAATATTCATTGTTATAAACAATTTAATATAATATTGAGTTGATAAATTAAACTCTAAAATAAGTTTATATTTAATATAAAAAAGAAACAAAAACTCACAGTTTTCTGCTGGTTTTGTGTTTTCGAAACTTTAATGTGGAACATAGAAAGACAAATAAAAAAATATTATTAATAAAAATTAAAAAAAAAAATTTTAAAAATTACAGTGTTACGTCTAAATGATTAAATTTCAGAAATAATTTACAAAATACTAACCTCATTGTTGTGTTATTTTCAGGAACAGCGCTAGGTAAAAATGAATTCTACGAAACAGAATCAAAATATTAATATTAACGAACAGAAACAATGAAAATATTGTTCAATACATTTAACTATATTTTGTGTATTAGTCTATCAATAATCTGTAGGTACTAAAATTATATTTATTAAATTATATTTGACAATAACTAACCTCTTTTATTTTGTATTGATTTCCACCATTTTGCATAACACTTGGAATAATATCACCGTCATCACTCATAATGAATTAAATATGTACTGAAAAAATAAAAATAGAGATAAATTATTATTAAAACAGATTACAAATCATTAGGTAGGTATATCTGTTTAATCCAATTAGGAAAAAAAAATTTTAAATGTGATAACATAGATATATCTGATGAACTACATTAATTATAATATTATATTATTAGAATTTAAAATAATTATATTTCCATGATTTATGGTAGGATTAGTCAGAAACCAAAGTTCATTTTTTTCTCTAAACATACCTATACCTTTAAGCTAACAAACCTTTTAATCTGCTTTAAAATGGAAGATAGGACATAGAAACTATTTATTACATTTTATTACATAGATGTGAATAAGGACCTATTTCAGAAATTATTTCATGCAAAAGGGTTACTCAAAACTTATTTTTGTGTAATTTTTTTTTAAATAAATAATTTATCAAAATTTTTATGATGAACTACCACTCTGTCAATGCATATAGCAGATGTTTTCAAAATTTTGTTACCGTATGGCGTATACCACTCATGTGTTATATAGAATAGTCACATACTAATGACTATAAACAAATTTTCAATACATTTATAAAATTTACAATTTAGAGTATTTAGTATTAAGTATTTACACAGAATATAAAGTAATATTAAATCAATCACCATCATTAGTAAAAATATTTATCTATTCATTTTCCATGCAATATCGACAAGGCCTAATGCATACACCACCATGTAACCAGTAGCCTTCCAATAATACATATTTGACATATCACAGTTTGAGAATCGCTAGTAATAGTATAAGTTTAGGACTTTTTGAAACTTCTAATGACCAAAAAATATACTTTGAGAAAATCACATCATTGTAAATCTACAAATTTCTTCAGAATTTGAAGTTCTTTTTCTTTTTCTCTTATCAATTATTGCTTTGTTTTAAATTTCAACAATAACCTACAAAAATTATGTGCCTCGGCATGTTTTTATAACATAGGTAATTGTGATCTTCAACTATTTATAGTTTATTAGGTTGATAGTCTTATTTATTATGTCATTGAACCTTTGTAGCCGTGTAGGTACAATGTTCATATTTTAAAGTGTTATATTTTTTATCATGCAAGTTAAAATTTATTTATATTAGGCACTTTTGTTGAACATTTTATATAATGTATCTAAATACCAAACATTTTGTTAATGATTATTTAATTATAATACGGATTAAAATATTTAAATAAATTAACGATTGATTTTCTTAGGTACACACAATAAGCAATACTTAAAAAAAATTGTAAGTAACCTGACCTTAAAATTTTTAAATACCTTTACTATTTTCATGTCTTCTTTAAAATAGGAATGTAGGTATTCAAAAATGACCTTCAATTCATACTTTATAGACATACAACATTTGGCATTGCTTATAAATTATAATGTTAGATTCAAGATTGAACAAACATAATCATTAAAAATATAAATCAATGTTCAAAATTACAGTGGGAATAATAAGGCTTATCAAGCTGGTTTTTTTAACATGCCACCCTATTTGTATGCATAAATTATGCATAGAATATTCAAATTCTGATTTTTTGAATTTTTAATACACTTAAAGACCATATTTTTGAATCCTTGAAATTTTTTGTACCATAAAATAATATGAATAATGTATTTTTTTTTATCCTGTGAGAATACAAACTCTTGTTTTTTCAACAGGAGCCTTTCTTTTTTATTTTTAATGATAATTCAAAGATTTTTTTGAGAAATTTGACGTATTTAAGTCAAAGTTAAACGAGTAGTGTTTGAGTTATTTAAACTTAATAATAATAATAAATCCAGGTTCTAATATCTATTACATATAGTTTTTATTTTTATAAAACCTTTTTTAAGAATTATTATTCTTAGTAGGTATAAACATTATAATAATTCAAAATATCACATTAGAATTTTGATTTAGATGCATCAACATTTTCAAGAAAATCATCAGCTTAATAATCAGCAGTAAATAGGAGGAAAGTTCTCATTTAAAAATTGAAATTTGTATCACCACTGGACACTTCTTATGAATAGGTACTGAACAATTTAAGAAATCAAAATATGAATTATTATAAGACTATTAAGGGGGAAAATGGGGATGAGTATGCTTAAAAAATCACTGTGTTTATATATATATATATAATATACCTATATGTTCTTCTTGGTATATAACATTAATATTTTAGAACTGTATTTTTAATATTTACCTGTTAGAAGAAATTTAAAAGTAGTAATTTGATTAAATATGTTTAATATACCATACGTACAGGTACAGAAGTCTCTACTAAAAAAAAATTAATACAAGAACCAGCATTCAATATTAATAACTTTAGTATTACGGGTTGGCCAGAGATTTATCATTTTAAAAGTTTAATATGTTTTTTTACCTATAATAAGCCAAATAATTGAATAGTAGAATATTTAGTACCTATTTGCTTAATAAATTAAGATAACATAAAATGAATTTCTAGTTGATATAAATGAGAGATCAACAGTAATTAATTGATTTGGTCAATACAGAAGTAAATGTTTGAAAAATATTACCTAATTGGACAGTATAAAGATAAATTGATTATTATTCACCAATACAAAAATGTACAGTAGGCAATAGATTTGTTGTAATTATAGTGAGTAATAGTGAGTTATTAGATTAGAAAGAATTTATAATTGACCTCTAAGTTTTAATGAAAAATTAATATTTATAGTAAAACAAAAATTATAAAAGGATTTTTTTTAAAGAAATTCTAGATAGTTTTAATAAATTATTTAACTATGAAATATACTAACTAACATTTTCTTAAATATGAAAACCACAACAAGTGCTTACCGCTGAATTGAATTATATTTATACAACAACAATTTAATTATTATTAAGTAATAACAATTAAAACTTTGAACAAATTGTTCAGTACCTACATTAAATTATATAATTATTTTACTTATTTAAATGTGTAGGACAAAGCGTTATGAGAACTGGGCTCTTTATATAATTAGGTATATCAATTGTTATTTATTAATTAACATTATAAAACAATCATTCATTATGAACTAATAAAATATTCGGTTAGATAAATATTGGACGGAAAATTGAAAAAAAACAAGTTGTTTTAAATGTTATCTAGACTTGATTTTATTCATTTAAGATGTTACAATAAACATTTTAGCATTTTCATCTGATTTTTTAAAATTATTTCTATGGATTCAAGAGAAAATGTATAAGAAATATACCTAAAAAATTTATTTTTATATATTTTCTAAGTTAAAAAAATAACAAATAAGGTAGGTAGTATCAGGTCTATGAAAAAACTAGAAAACAAGGATGTGGGCTACTTAAATATTTATTGAAACAGGTTTGGTTTAAAATCAAGTTCATGTGTTATTCAAGATGACCTCAAAAGTATATACCTATCTTACCTATCTAAAGTCAACTAACCATATTTACAATATAGTGCCGGCCTACTATATGGCTACATTTCTCTAACTGTATTCTTGAGGGTATTTTAGTGTATCAAACCATTTTAAACTTAATTGTATAATGATCTAAAAGTAGAATATACACAAATATATCATACAGTGCAACTTTAATATCTCAGTCTCAAGAGACAAAAAAAATTTGACAAATTGAAACTTTAAAATACCACTGTATTAGTTTATTTCAAGTACCAAAAAAAATAATATTTATTTTATTTAATACATAGTAGGAAAGTGCCTATATATATTATTTTCTTTTTTTGTTAGTTAAAACATTTCTATAACACATAATAAAAACCCAATGTTTTGTCTTATTCTAAGTATATTTTAAATGACTTAATTTGTTATAAATACATACTTATTAATTAATAAATATTAAGCCATATAAGAAATTATTAATAGGTACAAAATATAATAGGTAGGTATAATTTAATTTTAAGTTTTTGAGATTTTTTTGGTTTAAAATGTCTAATTATTTTGTATTAACATGAGTTTGTTATGTGTTAATAAACTATACAGTATAATATACCTTTTTTTTTTCACCCGGATAGAACCGAGAGCAGAGAAGGGTCTGTTTGCACAATGCTACACCTCAACAGTATAATATATATAATATAATTATATAATTAAATTGATATGATTTCTTCATTCAAATAAACTTATATTAATAATATTAAATCATACATTTGATATTACTTGTACTCAGTGAAAAAATTACTCACACATTATACCTTTAAATATTGACAAACAAAAATCAAGAAACAATAATATTAGTAGGTACCAACCCTAATACCTACTTATAAATAAAAAACAATTTCTATTTGAAAATAAATTGTATGACCTTATAAACTCAAGGATTAACTCTTAGTCTACCAGTTAACAACTAAAAATATATAAGTCGAGACATAAGTAGATATTATCTAGGTATGAATAAATAGATATAAGCAAGGAACTTGTAATGAATCTTCTGCATCCAATACAAAAAAAAAAATGTCCTCTTCATATTTTTCAAATAATTTAAAAGAATCAAATATTTATATTTTATACAATATATTGATACCTATAAAACTAAAAAAATATTTAAACACATATAAATGCCATTACAAACCTAGATGTATGGGTCACGGGCTCACAGCTACAGATATACTTTTCAATAATTCGATTTTGTAGGTAGTTAATTTACTATACTTTTTTAGAAAGCATTTGAATTTGATAATTTTAATTCAATTTGAATCATTATGAGAAAATATGAGATGGATACATCTTATATACATTTTATTGTCAAGATACAGCAATATTAAAGAAAAGAAAACGAGGAAGAAGTAAATCATAAGGTTATTTTTTAATTAATGACAAAAAATGTGTGCACATCTATATCAACACTCCCTATCAAATTATGTACAATATTTATTTATATTATTTTTGTAAATATATTACAGTGTCTAGTGGGACCCCTAATGCCAAGGTAATAAACTAATTTTTTTAAGAAAATAAATAATATTATTTATAAGTATAGATAATAATTAGGTACCTAATAGCTCGCCTAATAGGTATTGCAATAATGATTTACAGGGAGATTTACTTAATAATGATGTTTATATGATAAACAAGACAATTTGATGTTTGACAATTTTAAAAATAACACACTCACTGATCAATGATCAAGGTTTTTTTCTAGTTACTAATGAATAAAAAAAATTAAAAGCAAATGAGTAAATAATTTGATTAGAGGATAATTAATTTGCATAGTATTATGAGTTATGACTCATAAAATACCGTAAAATACACAAGGTCTTGAGTATTAACTAATTGTCTACACACATACAATAATTCATTCATAGCTAGTTTTAATAGCTTATATGATTAAACAAGAATTTCAACATTAAATGGAATTATTAAGCTAAAAAAAATAGTTAAATAAACAAAAATAATTATTTTTAACATTTTAAATATACAAAATATTTTTAAGATACCTAAGTAATTAAAAATGAACACCTAAGGATATTAAAATTTAAAATGTTCCTATTATAGGTACCTAATTTGATTTTGTAATTACTAATCAATACCTAATTACATATTTAACAACATAGGTACTAGACACTAGTTAAATATTATGTACCTACCACCTACCTAACCCAGTACCTACTTAATATAAAATATGTAGGTAAGTATCTAACTATGAATATAATTTTAAGGTATAGAGATGTTCTAAAATTATAAAGAAAACACTTATAAATAGTTTATTAGAAGGTACCTAATAAACTGGAAACTAGTATTAAGTTCTAGGATATATTATTATTTAAAATGATATGGAACACTTTTACCAATAAAATACATATTGATAAATATATTAGTCTACATACCTACTATGTGGGTATACATATAGTTTTTATAACTAGGTACTTTAATTTAATATATTATTATTGAATAATGCCGAGAATAATGCTGAAATAAATAAATATCAAATTGTGAATTCTAGTTGAGTTAATAATAGATAGATAGGTAGGTAGTTATTAAATAAGAATGTAGGTATGTTCTAAAACCAATTACCAAAGTTTTACCGGAACAATTTGTAGGACATAAATATTAGGTATTTTAAAGTATTTTTTCAACTCTATTTTATTTTTTAACAAGAAATTTACACCGTCAAAAATGTACTTATAATAATCAGGTACTCATAGGTAAAGACAGTTTTAAAATTTAAACACACTTGGCCATCACAGTTCATGGAACCTTGTATTTAAATTTATGAACCTAGCATGCAAGTACCTAAATCAGAGGTCGGCAATAGGTGGCCGCGGGTCAGTACCCAAACTGCGGATAGAAATAAATAGACCACCAAAAAATATTTTAGTTTAATGCAAATTTTGTTTTCATTATTTTTTTGTGTAGACCTCAAATAATTAACTACACAAAGAAGGTTTACTCGAGGGTTTACTGGAACTCAACAATTTTTATTCAAATCATCTGGAACCCCTTTGAAACTAATTAAAACCTCTGAAATAAATCAATAATGAATAAAATAATATTCAAACGTGTAGGCTATTTCCTTAGGGCCTCAGCTATTCTTTTCATTTATTTTTTTTTTTTAATAAAAACAATGTACCTATTACTTGTATGAAGTAAAAAGAAATTTGTTTACTATAAATATAATTTAATACACTTCTATATTAAGTATATGTATATCAAGGCAACATAGGTAACAGGTCATATAAATGACCATAAAATGTCACAAGCGATGCATAATAAAAGCTATAACTTGTAGGTACTTACTAAATTCACGTTTTTAAGATAAATACTAAACTCAATGAAATATATGATTAATAATGCGCCTAAATATTAGGTTAGTAATACAAACATTCAAGGACAGCTATTTAAAGTTATAAGTAGGAAGTGATAGTATAGGTATACATATTTTATTAATAGGTTTATCTAGAGGTTTATCTTTATTTTTTAAATCAAGGTACATTTACTGAAACATAATTTTAGGTAGATAATCTGTTTAAAAAATCTACTTATCTGTTATTTAAACTTATTTTACATAATTGGAGATGGCGAGAATATAGACAAATATAAAAATATACTTGTACCTATTTCAATTAAGTAGGTACTGGCACTACTGGATACCTATCATGAGCCGGTATTGGACTGGTTTGTCATCGGTTCATCAACAAATTGTACATTAATTTGATGTTACAAACTTTTTGTTGATCAACTGATGTGTTGAAATAGTTTAATAGGTTAACCTACTTATTACAATATTTAGGACAATATTCAAATTTGATAATATTAATTGATATGTATGCAATGATGAGTATACCCAACTAAATTAGTAAAAAATGATACTTTTAATGGTGTAATCATATTATAATATTCAAACAGCAGATAAAATATATATATGTTGCAGGCTAGTCGGATAGAGGTTGCCTATCTTCTTTTTATTTTATTTAGAACTTTCAGAGTACAACTATTATAGTTCAACAATTACAATTAACACAGGTGGTGTTTATGTTGCTTATCTTGTGTCAATAATGACTATTTAAAATATATAGGGCTTCTTGTGTTAATGAAGAGCATACTCAAGGGTATATGAAAATAAAACAAAAAGAAACGTCTATAATTACCAGGAAAAAACCCTAAAGCTAATGTTTTTGGACTTTAAGCACCTACCTATCTAAATAGGCACACTCAAATAATGAAATTCTGGAAACAAATTCGATAAAATCAGAAATGTGAGAAGGTAATACGATGGTAAAACAAAATTATAAAAAAAACACTTTTAATACTGTTAGGCAGATAAGTTTTTAAGACGAGTACACACTTACTTACTAAAATTTATTGAGATAAAGATGATGAAAGAATAGCCTACCATATTATGTATCGTACCTAAAATTATGTAAATTATGCGAAATAAATATGGAAATATGGAAATATGTCAAAGTACACGCTGTCGTCGATAGGAAAACAAAATTAAGGTGTAAAATATGAAAAGAAAAAAAAACAGATCTCATTCAATTCAAATTTATCAGTTGGTCGCGCGAAACGTCCTGACCTCTGTGTCGGACGTATTATCATAACTCACACGCACACACTAACATGGAAAAGGTACACAAAATCTCCGGCAGGGATTGATGTCAAACGAAACACCTATGGTAAGAGTTGGTGCGTTTTACGGAAATCGATCGCAAACACCTACGGATACGATCGAATGTGCATGGTGTATCGTCGAGTATAATATTATTGTCATACAAAGGTGCGGGCCCGGTCGCGGTCTGTCGGACCGTCCTCCTTCGTGCAAAGTAAAATGCATTATTTTTACCTTTTCGTCGAACACGTCACGGGGAAACGACGATCTCGTCGGCCGCTACAACACGTCTCCGGGAACCGACCGACAAAGTCTACGACCGACAGCGACGACAATACTGACAGTTTTCGTCTCTCGGTCTCTCGTGTGGATCGCACGGGACGACGGCGGCACTCGAACGCGAAAACTGCGAGCGGATTGTGGAACCGGCCACGAAATCCAAACGACTCTCGTGTGCAACTTCCTCCTTCCACCTCCTTCTACAAAAACTCTTCAATGATAATAATACGATGTGCTATGTAGGTAGGTAGGCAGTAGGCACTTGCGCCGGCTGTTGCCCGCACTTATCGCTCGCGTTGAAGACGACGATAAGCAAATGTTACGACCGTTAATACTACTTAATGGCCCGGCGCACGCAGTCGTGATTTTTAACGACGAGACGATTATCTTGTAATAATAATGTCGAAAAAGCCGATAACGCGAGCGACACACGTCCCGGGGGCCCACGTTGGAGGACGACGGATGATGAGTGTCGGAAATTATTTATAAATATAATTGCACACACATATTATAAATACTACATATATACCGTCCATGCGATATTGTATTATTATTACTGTTACCGCGGCGGCGGCGGCGGATGATCGACACGGTGTTTGAAAATAATAATGATATTTACGACTGTTGTGCAGCGCAAGCGATAATAATAATTATGATTGTTGTACAGTGCGAGTGGCGATTTTCAATAATTCGCAGCACTCGCGCGGGTTGGCAATTTTTATTCCACGGTGACACGCACGTACACTGGCGGGCGACGTACTCGTCTCGGTTAGTCGGTTCGCGGTCGCGGAAACGGTTACGGGATTGGAAATCGGCGTTGGTGCAAAAGGTGATCGCTCCCGGCCGGAACACGACGACGTGACGTCACCTGGTCGGCCCGCGGTCCGTACGCGTGGCTGCCGCCGTCATGGAACAACCGCGGCCGCGGCCACACCTGCGCCCCGTTCACCCGGCTCGAACGAAACAGCCGTACGCGCACGTGACGACGTGGTCGGCGCTCGACCCGGCGGCGCCGAACCGACGACGTATTGCTGGGCGGGCTTTCGCGATCGCACCATTCGGGCTGCGGCCAATGGGAAACGGGCACACCGCCCGGGCCACGACGCTAAAATACCCAATTATCCAAATGCGAAATCCGCGCGCGACGGCCTGACGAGGCGTCCTTCTCGTTTTGAGTTCTTTTCGCCTCGGTTCTTTCGTTTTTTTTAGAAAATAATTCGTGCACGACGGATTAATAGTGGCGACCACATGAATTATTAGACAGGGTAATTTGGACTTGGACACAAGTCATCGCGAACCAGTTTCTCCGCCATGACCGGTATTAAACGTCGTAATAATGATAATAATAGTATGCCGTCAACTGGATTTTTAGACGACCGACCGTGATTGTTTTTCTATTCAAGGTTGTCGTTGTTGTTGTTGTTATCGTCATCATCATCATCATCATCATCATCACCATTCACCACTTTCATTATCATGGTCATCGCTGTAATATTCGGTTGTCTTGTACTCGTGTACGTGCTACTACAGTACTACAACAGTACAACGTACTCGTTCTCGAGCCGAGTCTCGGGAACTAATTAGTACAACCATACGTCACACGATATACGACATGACCGCAAAGCTTAGTATATTGCGTTACAAAAAACAAGTAACAGTGTTCTTACAAAAAGAATAAAATTCATTAAATATAATTATGGTTAGTACCTTACATGATTGTTCAAACAAGATTCGATTTTTATTCAGAAATAACTTAGGTAATAATATTAGTAAATAATAAAAAATAATACATTGAGTAAAAAAATTAATTTTTCTTATACAATAGGTTACAACATGTTGTATTAATTGGAAAAATAGAAACAATATTTATAATAATTACTTTAATTAGGTATGTGAATACTTACTAAGTACCAATGTACAAAAATGTTAATTATTGAATTAAAAAAAATAGTAAATAGGTAGGTGCATAATATACATTTTTAAGATTAACATAAAGTGTAACAAAAATATAATTCAAAAAATGGTTAAAAGATCACAATATGAGCAATTATTTATCCAAAAAAATTGGGTAACCAAATAACAACAAAATCATTTTAATTTAGATTTTTTAATATTTTTCTTATCAGGGGATGATGACATATCTCTAGATTTTTTACTGTTGGAACTCTTGCCAGCTTTGGTACTCTTATAAGCCAGTGACATTTTTGTAATATTATTTTTGTACACATCTTCGTGCACTACCACTCGTTTTGGATAATGCACTCCAACTACACAACCAGCTCTTTCTTGTAAGGACTTGGGTGCCGACCATGGTTCATATATATATTGATCTGGATATTTGGCCAATTCAGGGATATATTTTCTGATGTAATCACCACTCTTATCAGTCTTTTTACCAAATGCAACTGGACTGTAAACTCTGAAAAATTGATGGAAAAATGCTGACGCTGACAACCACATCCAATTCCCAGCGTTCATTGACCAATCGGCATCAAGCAATAATTCTTCAAATACAGCTAAACCCTTTTCCCAAGATATCCACAGGTCTCCTCGGGTTAAAAAGCATGCAACAGCATGTCTGGCTAAATGGTGTATCCAACCTTCATCTCTCAATTGCCTCATGATGGCATCAATGAATGGATATCCTGTCCTACCATTAGTCCAGGCTTCTAAAGCATCAGGATTATCGTCCCATGGTACCTGGCAGCAAATAGGATTGCCAATCATTTTATCAAAATTGGGAGTTGAAGCACCAACAGTATAATAAAACTCTCTCCAATACAACTGACCAATCAGAGATACAGGAGGTTTGGAATGAGGGCTATTACCAATAACTTCTTTTAATCTGTAATAAAAATGACTGGCAGATAAACACCCAAATTTCATGTACGGACTTAGTACAGTAGTGCTGGGTTTTAGGCTATTTGGTGATGTATTTGGTTTTTCAAATTTACATACCCATGACTTGTTTTTCATATATTCTTCCAAACGCCTAACAGCTTCTTTCTCTCCACCAGGATACAAACATGGTTTAAGTTCTGCAGGATTAAAACCTTTTAATTTTAACAATTCATCCAGTGTTGGCACATCAAACTCTGGGTTGTTTAAGTCATCATCGAGTAGACACTCGGGAGGCAACATATCTGGTGCAGGTATTGGTCGACGAGGAGTTGGCATTGAGCCGACAACAGATACAAATTTCTGATAAGTCATTGGAACGCTGCCTCCATTCGCCCTGAGTACAAGTTCAGTGTTATAAATAGTGTGAGAGACCTTTTGTTCTACTTTGACACCTTGTTTTCTGGCCAGTTGTTCCACTTGACTATCCCTCTCGCGAGCATACGGCTCGGTGTCCAACTCAAACGTCAACAGTTTTACATTCCATTTGGCAAACAAGTCCGGAAATACTTCGTGTGGCAACCCTCTGATAACGTACAGCCGCGTGCCCAGTTGCCGAAGTGTCGTGTCCAAGTCCACCATGCTCTGCTGCAAGAACCTCCAACGGTTTGCACCGGCCCGTATGTATTTACGGAAGTAAGGGTCAAGTATGTAAATAGGCCTGAGCTTGTAACGCTCACCGCTACCATTCTTTGCTTCACACGATAACTTGAACGCCGGGTTGTCGTGCAGACGCATACCCTTCCTGAACCAATGCACAGTTGTCTCATGTCTTGCGTCAGCACTGGTCTTGTCCATGTTGTTTTAAATACTACGATGTTATGATCCTGTTGTGTCTTACCGTTCGTAGGTACGCCAAGTGGTAGGTAATCCGAAAATGTATGTTATACCTACTATTTCGGGCAGCACAAAATTAATCACTGCGGAGCGAGTGATGTACCTACTTACTCGTAAAGTAATGAGTTTAATACGACTATACTAATCTTTTAGAAATTGCATGGGTATACAAATAATTAAGATTGAACATCAATGTCATTCGTTGGAAAATTGAAAGTTTCAACTTGAATTTTTAAACGTACGAATCTATAATCTATAATACTATCTAATCAAACGATTCTCATCTTTATCGCGATACCGTGTGATAACAGTTGTACACGAGCTTGTGATAACTGATAAGCCACTAGCGCCTATCTTTAATCGTGATCATCAAATTTAAACATACGTAGCCCGAGTCTCGACGTTTAAATTAATTGTATCGTAACTGTGGGAGTATAAGAAAATTACAAGGAACAGTAGCCGATTCATATTCTATGGAAAAATTATATTTTACCTATACTTGCAATCGTTTATTTTAAAATTTGTGTTAAATATTTAATAATTCGAAATTCGTTAAGATATTCGGGATGTAAGTAATGTGAATTGTGAATATTTTAGTACATATTTTTTTTCACTTATTCTTCAATAAATTATCTTCCCCGGATCCGGCTGAATATGCGAATAATATGTGAATTTCAAGCGAATCGGAAGAGTACCTATAGTTTTAAAGATTAGGAGTGGTAAAAATAGGAACATTTATTTTTAGTTATATACTTATATAGCTAATATAATATTGTTCATCCACAGATAAATACAAAATATATTATCTGGGATAATTCTTTAGCTCACATTTTCACAAGTTGTATATTAGGTCAATTTGAGTAAATCAACAATTAGATATTTTTAGTCTTAGTCATATATAATCAAAACATTTGTTTTTTTTTTTAATTTTAAATATTAATGCATTTATAATAATATTTAATTGAGTTCCCAATATTTTTCTGGCCTATACAAAATCAACTAAACATCGTTCGATAGATTTGACTAGTATAAATTATTTTTATCACTCGAAGATTACTGGCCCGTATTAGCTCACTAGCAGAGCTACCTTAAAGCAGGGATTCTCAAACTTTTATAAACACTGTACCCTTTTTTATCAATACATATTGTTGAGTACCCCCTTCTTAGTTACGAAACTAAAATATATATAAAAAAATTTAAAGACTTAAAGAATTTTTTCCATATTGGTTTGTTGGCCAGAGTCGTACCCCTTAAAACATTTCGACTACCCCCAAGGCGTACGCGTATTACAATTTGAGAATCTCTGCCTTAAAACATCCATGTGCTTGTCGTATTCTATACATCGCCGTATTTGTTATATCGTTGTACGAGCTTAATAATCCGCATACTATAATATAATATGTTTATTTACCATTGGGTCTGAAGACGAACCCCTTAAGCTGCAGATGACGGAGAGCGTCAGTATATAGGTATATAAATAAACTTGTTTATTGTTATGTTACATATTTAATTGGTTTTTAATTGAAATAGTATTGTATTATAATTAAACGCATCAACACTCTATGATATAACAATATAATATAATATCTTACCAAAATAATATAATGTAGCAACTGGACATTTTCGTGCGGGAGTCAACATTTTTTTCCATATGACATACCAATATGTTTTATACATTTTGGTATGGTTGTATTTATTTCTGTATTTTGTCTTCTTTTGGTACCTAGTACCTACTACCTAATATTCTATTCATCAGCATCTAATAATTTAAATCTATGAATAGAAAAGCTATTGGCTATTGCCTATTTCCTGTGTTATACAACTTTTAATTTAACTGAGTTAAAAAAAAATGGGTTAACTGTTAACTTTAAACTTTTTAAAATGTTTTCTATCAACTTAACATAACTCAGTTAAGAATTATCATTAACTTGCCCAGGCTTGAATAGTTGAATATATTATATATCTATATATGTCGTATGATATACCTGCCTAATATACAGATGTACGTAGGTGGTATAGGTATAGATAGGTACAGGGTACTAAAGAACTTTCTATTATTTACCTATATTATTTATTATGAGGTATTGTAACAATAATACTTCAAATGAATCGAGAACATTTTTTTGACTATTGTTTTTTAAAGTGTGTATCCTCTCCCCACCACTATTTTTCCGCCAATGAAATCGATAACTAATTCTAGCTGTTGGCATTGAATGAAAAAGATTTTGAAACAAAATGTAGCCTTATGACCATATAACTACTTGAAACTTTAAATGTTTAAAAAGCAAACAATGAAACCAGTTAAACGTCATACAGATATACCGTATAACGTTGGTAGATATCAAATCTGTAAACATATACAGAAAAAAGAAAAAAGAAAAGTCTTCAACCAATGAGGCTAAAGCTTAAGGCTTAAGAGTGAATTACAGAATTCTCAAATCTTCGCAAGTTAAAAGATTTTGTGAAATGTTCAAAATATTTAAATTATATTTAATCTATTTATACCGCAATTATACGGAACATGGTGTTAACTTTTTAAGTATTAATAATAATTAGGTATAGAATATAGATCAAAATTATATAAAATAATGTTATCATAATATTATTATTGTATAAGTACATAATATTTTTTTTGCAAACATTAGTTCAATGTTTACCGATTAATACTAATATAAAAATATATTAATAACCACGAACTAAGATATACAATTTATATATGAATAAATATAATATATTATATCTTATTCCGTACGACCGTGATGATAATATCAATATAAATATATAACTAATACATATTTAAGTAGGTAAGTAAACTTTCAAAACGTCACTATAAATCCTTTCACATAAAACTGCCATCGAACATTAATCACCTAATTCAAAAAATGTCCTCAAATCTTATCCCTGATCAACCTCCACGTAGACTGAAAAGAAACTGGAATCGAGACCTACTACTCTGAAAAAAAAAGAAAAAAAAACAACAACAATAGCAACATCAACTATACAATTATTCTTGCTACACCTAGATATATAAAATAATAAAACCTAAATATTTGTGTGAGGGGTATTACCAGTGGGTGACTTCCCCTATCATGTGAATCATGTTATGTCAATTTCTATGTTATCTCAATGACTTATTGTACAGACTATGTGTATAGATTGTCTTTTTCTTAAAAAATAAAAAAAAAAAAAAAAAACTAATACATATTATCCTTATAGAAGAATAGGTCTCTGTTCAGAATCATTAATTTGCAATGAATGATGAATTACCGCTGAACTCAAAACTAAGTATAATTTAACACATGTATAAGCATCTTTACAGTGATCTACTCTGTAATGACGATATACAATATTAACAAATACCTGTCACCTACTATTATACAACAGTGCAACTTCCTCGATTTCGGTTACTCACGATAGTTCCGAAATTAATTTATTAGTTTACAAGTACAAGGTACTTGGTTGATGGGGAGGTGCAAAAAAAGCTGTATCAGTTATATTTTTTGATAGTTGTAAGTGCATGACTTATATTTTAATATATATGAGTGTGTACGATACTACAGACTTCCTAAGTAAATTAAACTATACATTTAATTTTATATTACTCTACACTCCATAGTAGTACGCAGTGGCATAATTACGGAGGTTCACGACGGTCCCCTGGTGTTATGTCAAGATATGCTTTTGCACCTGCTGAATCTGAAATTTAATCCTCTTAAAATACAATACTAATACTATCACATTAATTTGTTAAATTATTTTGATAAAAGATGACATACTGAACAAATAATAAAATAAGTAAAATAACGTTGTGTAATAATTTTGTTATCACTTATCAATTAGGTATAGTAGTGTCAATATCATAGACTATAGACCAAATTTTAACAAAATAACATTTTTTGTTTCATATAAATAATAAATATTGTATTTTTGCAACACGAGCAGTCCGTGTCTTTGGACACGTCTAATTTTTATATGTATTTGCAGGCGTATAGGTACAGTGTTTAAAATAATTTAATAATATACACATTTACTTTACACAGATAAGATTTATTACAGATATATTTGTATAATTGTATGTAATAAAAATACCCGAGTAAAGCAATTGACTCCAAATATGACTTAATTCGTGTTTATGATTATTGGACTTATGAAAGTTTGCACCACCTGGCATTTAATGAAATTACACCAATGGCAGTATGTACAATGTAGACCGTAGAGTAATATAAATATAATGTTATAACAAATTATGTTGTGTTGAATTTTATATTATTACAAAACAACTAGTTGGATGGTTTTTTTAAGAGTATTTTGGTATGTGGGCTAGGGGTCAGATAATATTTGTTCGGGTCCAGTAGGTACCTTTGTTTTTTTCCATTCAAGAACTAGGAATGCACTGGAACTGCAGCTTATCACAATACTGCCATCAAATATATAATAAGTACCTAGGCACTGCAGTATACCTATATTATACTATAGTACATAATAATACTATAGCTATAGTATATATATACCAAGTTGTTGGTACCTAAGATAAATTAGCTGATTGCTACAACCCGTGTTGAAAAAACGTCAATATATTGATAGTTGATACCCATACATTGGTGAATGATGTGGTCATGTGGATATTGCAGGATTTTGGATATAATATAAACTTATAGCTATTTCTATGTATTATTGTACTGTTATTATGTACCCAATAGTAATACGTAATAATTATTAATTTATAATATTATGTAAGTACCTGCAATGTATTTGTAACTAAATAAAACATTATATATTGCTGAATGTTTAATACTAGTATATTACAACCGAAATGTTTTACATGAAATTGATTCAACATAATACACATAGGTATAATATTATTTTGTGTACCTATACCAAAATCGAGCGGTCGCGGACTTTAGAATGTACCGTTGTACCTATATTATATGAATAACTACTGCCGGTATAAATATAATATACTATATAGTGGTGCACGGAGGTCAGCCACGGGTCGTGTCATTGACGCAATTGCAAGTTTATTAATATACAGAAATAATAATAAAATATTTTTTACCCTTTCATTTACTGTAATATTATAGAGACAGACATCACAATTACACTAAATTTTTCTAACGGTGAGTTATTATCGGCCGATTACTGATGATTATAAATGTATAATTCATAATTATACATTACACACACACACACACATATATATATATACATATACATATATATGCACATCCGACACTTTATAATTTATTTTATTATAATAATATGTTTTACCTATAGTATATTATA